TTATGAATATACATTTTGTTTTATATTTTCTACCTTCAAATGGAAGAATGTGAATGAATGAATGGAAAACATTCAAATCATTCAAACTCATTTCGGTAAATGTTTTTTTCTACAAACAAGTTTTTTCGTATGTAATAGGAGCGCAGCAATACATACATACGTACATTGTTTGTTTGTACATATGTTCATAGAAAATTTTTTTTTGGATATTCATACAAAAAATTGTCATTTATTTCAATTCAATTTATTTTCACTTTGTTTGAATGTTGTAATGTCGACACAAATATCAGAACAGCTATTCACTCAAATTCAAAAAAATTTCAGGCCAAAATCATTCATTCGTTTTGTATATGAATAATTCAAAAGCCGTTTTGAATGCATTCATGCAGCCCTCTAGTATACATAACAAAATACAAAATTTCATGAAAATCGGACCAGCCGTTCGCGAGATTACCTGTTATAAAAAAGGGACTTCTCTTTATATAATTAGTATAGATATGGTTGATAATAAATAAAACCTAGAGTGTGATCAATTTCTCATTCCGAACCCTACATTATAAACTTCGGCTTCATTGCTTAACTGAACCATACGGCATCGTCAATTGGTCCCTTTCATTAATTTTATGACGAGTTTCTTAGTAAAATAGTATACCTCAGTAGCTTCCAACGAAATATTTGCATTATACTACATACAATTGTACATCATTTTTAGCTTTTGCTACACACTTGCCAATTTTGCACAATTAGTTTACCTAATTAGTAGTTTCGCCACAAGTAAGTGCTAAAAACTGAAAGTTCACTTTTCTCACCAAGCGCAGTTGCGAATATAGTAAAAGTAATAAAATGACCAAGTAAATCCAACAAATTATCCAAAGCACTCAAATCTTAATAAAGATGCCTTCAAAGTGGCTAGTTAGACGCACAACGCTCAGCTCAGCTAGACCAGAATTGAGATATATAAATAAAATACAAACACAAGCTTATACATATACACACACCTCAACCTAATTTCACGCAACAAATTCGTATATGTACTTATAAATTTTATCCTTGAAAATTTTCTACTCCGTCTGCATAGGCCAATATACATACATATGTATGTATAGATGCGTACTAAAGATCTGCATCATAAGGCATTTTTACTTCACTGGGACACCATAAAGGTTTTTGGATACCACTGCATAGCCTAGTAGAAAGTGTTGACGTGATTCGATCTCATCATCTTGAAGGCAACTGCGGTAGTGAGGAATATATGTTCCACACTGGCCTAGAAGGACCTTGCAATTGATCATGCTCAAGTTTTTGATCACCGTTCGCTGAGCTGATATGAGCTCCATCTGTCCAATAGTGAACCAAAGGTAGTCAGTGGTGGTCCCAGGCGCTATAAGGCCGGCGATATTTCTTCAAGCATCAATGTGGCATACTTCAGCATTAAGTCTTATTAAGAATCAGAGTATTTAGATGGGTGATTCCTCAATTTATTGTTGTCACGGTCTTTAGCGTGTGTCAATTGTTTCTTAAATGGTACTGTGGTAATCAACTTCACCTACTAGTCGGAACCGCTTTTCAAACTCGAAAATGTATTCCCCCTCATAGGGTTCCATGGTTATCTGTACCATCTTCCGCACCATCAATGAACTTAATGAAAGTGATTGGGAACGTACTCTGAGGCCTGCCAGGACGGAGGCCGTCATCGTATTAGTCGGCCGATCAATTTTTGCTGACAGCGCCATAGTACTCACAACTCAATATTCTGAAACCACCAGCTCAGTGATTAACAAATCTCATTCGAATATCAAATATTCAGAAGAAAGCAAGCTGTGAAGTTCCCTTTTTTGTATTTCTTCTCTTTGGTGCTACATACACTCGTTTGCTTTTCTTCTTCAATTGAACCAGCAGATAGATTTAAAAGTGGGTGCACGCAGACCTTTAATATGTACGCACATATACAGTGGCGGAGAATTATATAGAGACGCGGCATTTTAACAACTTTTGGCAATATTTTTTTTCTTTATTTAATGTTTAGTATTTTTTTAATGAAATTATAGCTAACTATCTACAAAGCCCATGCAAGTCCGAATTTCTAATTTTGTACACAAATTTTGATAATTTGACAAAGTTTCATCAAGGTTTCAGATTTTTTAATCAGATTATTTAGAAAAAAATTGTGGCAGACAGTGTTTTGGCAATTTGGAGCAGCTAGGAATTAACGTTGCTTTTTGGTAAATTTGCCATACAAAGTATATTCGAATTTTATTTATTTTTATATTTATTTGCATACACCGTCAGCAAAAAGTATTGCCAAAAGTCCTAGCTACTTAAAAACTTGCACTTGATTATAGTACAGTCGTTATACCAAAATCTAAAGGGCAACAAAACTGCCTACCTGGATTTTGTTTTTATTCTGAAAAAAAATATATATTTGAAATTTTGGTGAACATTTCGATGGTCCTGTGCAATAACGACATAATTCAAAATTAAAAAAAAAATAAAAACTGTTACTACTGTTAAGTGGCTCTTGTCCCTAATTCTTGTCTATTCCATTTCCATCCCTTACTAAAAAAAAAGCAGTAGGGATACGTCAATTAAAGAAAAAAAAATAATTGCCAACACTTTTTTAAATGCCCCGTACCTATGTGTTTCCCCGCCAACGTGCATACATACATATATTTCTATTAGTCTGACTTTTTGCACAAACTTTTTGCTTTTTTTTGATGCAAAATTCAAGGCAAGCTAACTTTATATACTTACGTGGTTACGTCTATGTTTTATTATACAAGTTTGTATGTATGCATAATCACACCTTTCGGTATTCTAAGCCCCAAACAGTTAGGATTAAAAAGCCAACGAACGGACGCTATTCAAGTTAAGAAGTTAATTAAGGAACATTCAAAGGATTAGGCGCACCTATACAAAGTAAGTTATTATATATGTATGTGGGTACAAATATATATATAGCCAGTGTTCATATGTATGTATAATGGCAGACGGAGGTAGGTAAATGACGCGGGACATTGAAAAAATTTATAATAAAGTGAGCTAAGATGAAAAGAAATAGAAAATGAACGAGACTGAGCAGACAAGCTGAATGCAAACTTGCGATGGAGAAGGTGGCGAAAGGGAAGGTATTAAATAAAATCAACAACAAAAATCCTAGTAAAAATAAAGATAAGACGAATAGGGTTTTAGGTGTGAATGAGAAAGCAGCGCAAAAGGAACAACGAAAAAAAAAGAAGAAATTGCGAATTGAGGAAAACCTACAAAAGTTGGAAATGTTGTAATAGCACTTGATAAGCGTGCGATAGGCGGCTGTGCTCACCTAAACATACACACATAAGTGCATACAAATATACCTAGATACTACTTCAAAGTGTCTATCAGCATACTTAAAGGATTAAAAATGGTGGATACAGGTTTAAGTGCAATTACACGGTGCTGGCAAGCAGCTGCTCAAAGTTGAATGTTGCCAGAATTAATAAGCGAAACGTTTGGTCATGGCTGGTTAAATTAAATGAAATACCTTTCAATAGAAAAAAGGTAGTAGTGCGGCTTTTGCGTGAGACGTTAAGGATTATTTGTAAAGATTAAGTGTTTCATGTTCACCAGCTTATTTATTGTTGGTGGTTTCTCATTATACAGACACTATGTAGAAGGATAACGCCATCGTCCATTTTTCATACACTTTTACAAATGTGAATAGAAATTTTGCATTTGTATTTAACTACGCATGTATTCTTATCTACTCAATTTTGCTTGCACACCGGCAACCAGTAGTTCGTATTATCCACATAGAAAAGTCATATTTGCATATAACTACAACAAGCATGATGATAGCATAAAAACAACATGTAGCCACCATATAAGCGGCATATAACTAATTTACGCAAATGAAGATACTGTAACCGGAATTCATTCCCATAGTCAACAACAAATAGCTATGCACATATATACATATGTATGTAAGTATTTACATATGCCCGTTGTATGTAGTGAACGGAAATCCGGCATATGTGAATTTTAGCAAGCATTCAAGCTTGCAGATAAATAAGCGATTGCAGTCGCTTGCACACATGTTAGGGATGTCCTTATGGTTATCGTTTTATCATACTATTTTTGGTTGGCATGCAATAACTTTCATTTCGGAAGGCCAAAATTTTACGCTAATATTGATATTGTATTGCGTGATATACATAACAGCATACTTTAACAGCTGTTTATTCATAGCTGCACTACTATTTGTGAAATACACTATATTGCCAACACATATTTCGCTGAGTGTTTCTGTAATTTACTTCAATAAAACTTTACTTTATTAAACTTAACCAAGAATGGGTTTTAATAATCTTCAAAATATTTTCAAGCTAGATCCTTCTTAAATTTCTTTCGTCTTTCACCCGTTTTGTAATCAAATATGTACTTCCATTACCTAATGCCCTTAGTTCAAGTTGAAACTGACTTTTTGAACTTTTAAACAGGTGGCAACTCTCTACCACGCGTTGTTTGAAAATAAAGCCTTTTCAAAATTAGAGTCTAACGATGTCAAACTTTAAGCAACTTAATTTTAATTTTAATGAACCCTTTCAAAGAGGTGGCAACCTCATAAAAATTATGTTTTGAGTTAAGTTTTATTAACCTTCTTTCGTTTGACAACCATATTGCAATATTTCTTGTATGTAATCAGTAGTAATCAATATAACCGAATTTAATTATTAAAACAGGTGGCAACTTTCTTTGAAATATTTTTGAAAGTGAACTTTCTTAAATTTTTTTTTATTAGACACCCATATTGTAATGTTACTTTTATCCAATCATACATAAGCGTATGCTTTTACTGCCCAAATCAATGGAAATTTTTTAATGAAATTTGTTGAGAATATTAAGCCAAGGCTGCTGACATAAAATATATCTCATTTAACACCACTTTACTTTATTTAGTTTACTTGGCTATTTGGCTTTACTCTATTCAAATCATATTCTTAAATAGCATAAATATTCCTAATAATAAAGGTCTACCCTAATGTGCATACCCAAGTAGGCATTAAAATGTGCCTAATGGCTCTTGCGGGTGCATATATACATACATATGTAAGTAGATACACGTATGCCTAACTAATGCCTATGTACATGCTATGTTACATGCTATTCATACATATTTGCGTGTGCCGCTAGTGAACGTCGGAAAATTAAGAGGATGTCCAAAGCGGAAAACCGGACATTTTGTGCGTTTAGCCATTCGTTTATGTGGTGACAGGCACACATACATACGTACGTACACACGCTCATACATACATATAAGCTTTTATTTTTTCAAAATATGCCAACCGGTTAGTTTTGTGGGCGTTTGTCGGTTGCCTAGTTAGAGTTGGTTCTTATCTGTAATTTACTTAAACGAATAAGTCGTTGAGTGTTAGGTGCACTTACGCTTTTGCATGTATGTGTAGAAGTATTTTATTTAGTAACTATCCATGTGTGTATGGAGCAGCATATGTGCGTACATATGTATGTACATATGTGGGCTATTTTGCTGCCTAAAACCAAAAATTAATGCAAAAATGTTGTTAGCTGTGTTAACGTTGTGGCCAACGGAGAGTACAATCGAATGTAATGACTACATTTTCTCGAAAAACCAATGGCCGCACTTACACATGAGTAGGTACATATGTATGTACGTAAGTGCTAATATTTCATCGCACATGAATACTATAAATATACAGAGGCACATATTTACAAATAGAGGTAAATATATGTGCATTAGGGTGGTCCAAAAATGCATGTGAAAAAGGTTAGTAGGAATTTGTATGCTCTCACCCCCTAAGATTGTTCTATACCTAAGGAATATGTCCCTGTTTTTTATTTTAAAATAAAAAATGTTTAGAGGTCGCTCAAGGCGCCCAAAGTTTTTCATTTATTTTATATGGGGGAAAACATCTTTTCTATCAGAAAAATGTGTTACTCTGCTGGAGACTCCCAGTAATAATAGCCAATTGTTTATTTAACCATTTTTTCTTCGCAACTATAATCTATAGGTTCAAAAAATGCAATGAGGGGGCCAATAAAAATTCGTTGGTATTACAAAATGGTTAAATAAACCATTGTGTATTAT